GCAAAGTAGTTCGATCAGTTCCGAGTCCTCCTTGAAGCTCTATGTACTCTGGTCAATTTTTTTTCCTGGTACTTCGGTTGGTTTCTGTTATAATTAATTTGGATACTTCTGTTTTTGGCAGCATTCCACAGCACTGAAAGGCATGTGCTTATCTTGGGGAACTGTTTAAGATTAGTTCTGGCTGGGAACAAAAGTCATTCCCAGCGTTGCAATAAAATAGGTTTTGCTTTTAAAACAAATTTGTGTTCAATTACATTTGACAAAGCCTGGGTTAGAACAGTATGCTCATTTTTCCACACTTATGACCATAGGATCATCCTCATCATGGTCACCTGCTTAGGAATTGATTTGTATTTATGATGGTAGCTGTGTCACGTGATCATTTTGCCACCTTCAGCCTAGCAAAATTGACAGAGGAATGCCAGAGATTTACTGAACAACCGTGTGACTTACACGACTGCAGCAATTCACTTGAATGTGGCAAGAAAAATCGTAAAAGGGGGCCAAAACTCAACAACTTCCTCACTTAGTGACATCATTTTGGGGCTCTGTTGTGGTTGTAAGTCGAGGACTACCCATACAGGACTGGCTACCTAAAATCTTTTCTATAATCTATTCCAGGGGTTGCCAGCCTTTTGGACCTCAGGGACCACCAAACTCATAATTTTAAATCCCACAGACCAGAGACCCTGGGAAAATCCCGCAAAAAAAGTCTGCAGGAAAGTTCCCCGCTCCATTTTCAATCATTCTTTATTTGGGAACATAGGATGCCGTCTCCAGCTCCGTTCTCAGCAGAAGGGGGGGGGAGAGAGAGAGACTTTTGGCTTCATGCAAGGAAAGCAGCAGAAGTCTTCCTTTCTCTCTCCCAAACTCCGCCAGAAACGAGTCTTTGCCGGCGCAGCCTCTTAGGGCAGGAGGCCTTGCAGGATCCCAAAGACTCATTTCTGGCGGAGTTTGCGTGAAAGAAAGACAGACTTTTGCTGCTTTCCATGCGTGTAGCCAATAGCAGAAAAAGAAAGAAGCAGAAAGAGGCAGCCCGGTGGCCAGGCGAGGTGCGTGGATGGGGCAGGTGCCCCCCTCTGTTCTTTTCCCGCTTCCCCTCACGAACTCCTGTTGTTCACAAAGCAAGCAACGCAAGACTTGTGTTCCCACACAGCCTGGATTAATTGCTTTTGGGGTCACATTTATCTGCAGACCACCCAAATTTTCTCACGGACCACCAGTGGTCCCCGGCCCGCTGGTTGGCAGCCATTGATCTATTCTGTAATCTCTGCAGGAGCCTGGAATTTTGGTTTTGTTCTGTTTCCCAGCATCCAAACAGACCATAGAGAAACAATGGGTTTGTTTAATGACCTTGGTGTTTGCTTTTGACGACCGCATTTGCTTAATGACTCCTTCAAAAATGGGTCATAAAATCGGATCAGCGCACAACGATCCGCAAAGTCCTATCTAATTACTTTAGGGTCCAATCTAGTGTATCCATGTTATATATGGTTCATAAGAATGCAGCCGTGGCTTTTATCTCTCTTGCGTTTCTAAACGCTTCAGGAGTTCAGCCTGTACCAAATCTGCTGCAAAATTCTTTATTGACTTTTAAATTTCCTAACGCAGCCAATAATCAAATTAAGTTTCTGCAGATTAGAAAGTTACTTTAAAACGTGGGGAAAGTTTCTAAGAAGCAAACAATTAGAAAAGGGGGGCTAGGAGAAAACCAGCCAAACAATAACAGGCTGCTAATGAATAGCAAAGCTTTAAAAGCTATTATTCCAGCGTACAGCGAACTATTAAAATAGAATCGAGTCGGGAAATTATACAAATATCAGCAAGGAATGGCACGTTATCGCGTCGCACTAAAGATGTGCTAAAAAAATTTTCAAGCTGAGGAAATATATATATATATATATATACTGGAGAATTCACAACATTCTTCTTTCTTCTCTGGGGATTTCCCAGAAGTCAATCCTTCAAAGCAAAATCACTTTTTATATATTTGAGAAGGTCTCAGCTCTGCTTTCCCAAAAAAAAAAACCAGCCCAGGACACACAAACCCTTCCTAGCACGAGGTTTTCCACCGCTTAGGTTAGACCTGGGCATTCTATTCCCATGGAAATATTCTAATATTTTGAAACAATGGGCCCAAACCAACAACATGAAACTTAATGTGGAGGAAAGCAAAGTTTTACACCTGGGCAGGAAAAACCAAAGGTACAAACAGGTGAAATGTGGCTCAAAAGCTAACTGAGAGGGGACCTTGGAACTCTAACAGACGCTTATTTAAACATGAGCCAGCAGTGTGCAGCCGCCGCCAAAAAAGCTAATACAATCCTTGGTTGAATAAAGAGGCACCATCAAAATCATGTGGAACTGGGATTCAATTTTTTTTTACTAGTGGTTCTGTGGGTGTGGCTTGGTGGGAGTGATGTGGCTTGGTGGCCGTGACAGGGGAAGGATACTGCAAAATCCCCATCCTTCCCTACCCCACTAACCTGCTTTCCAGCTCCGTTCTCCTGTGCAGGGCAACCCAAGGAGACCCAGCTGATCAGCTGGGACTCCATGGGAGGCAGAGAATAGATGGGGTTGGCGGGGCCAGTCAGAAGTGGGATTTGCCGGTTCTCCAGCACTGGTCAGAACCTGCTGAATACCACCTCTGATGTGGAAGTATTAGTACTGCTTTATAAAGCCTTTAGTAAGGCCACATCTGGAATCCTGCATCCAGTTTTGGTCAGCACATTACAAAAAAAAAGATGTTGACACTTTGCAAAAAGTGCAGAGAAGAGCAACTAAGATGATTAAAGGTCTGGTGAGTACTAAAACATACGAAGAACGGTTGCAGGGATATGAGTTTGGCCTGTCTAGAGAAAAGAAGGAACTGCGGGGACATGGTAGCAGTCTTCCGGTATTTGAAAGGGCGCCATAAAGAGGATGGGGTCAACTTATTTTCAGAAGCACCAGAGGGCAGGACAAGAAACAATGGATGGCAACTCATCGAAGACAGAAGCAACCTGGAATTAAGGAGAAACTTCCTATCAGGGAGGACAGTTAACCAGTGGAACAGTTTGCCTTCAGAAATCATGGGCAGCTCCATCACTGGAGGTTTTTAAGAAGAGTCTAGACAGTCACTTATCTGAAATGGTATAGGATTCTCCTGCTTGAAAAGTGGGTTGGACTAGAAGACCTCTGAGGTCCCTTCGAGCTCTATTTGGATTGAAGTTAAAGGTAAATAAGCCTGCACCATGTATGCAATACATCTCCATTGCTTTTATTTGGAAAGCGATTGCTCCTTTTATTTTTTCAATTGATGTATGTGTGTGTTTGTGTGTGTGCGTGCCTACACACCTTCACAGCCTTATTGGTTTAACCCTCCACAACTGTCTGGATTTCTCATGTAGCCTCTTGGGGAAATTAATTGCAAATCTACACACACACCCCAAAGCTATGCAGTACCCCAGAGGGGTTAACACAGACCCCAGAAGGCTGGGCTCCGTGGGGAAGAGATTTCCCACACCCCAAAACCCTCTTCTTCAAATTCTTTAACTCAGTGGTACAACAATGGTGGGACTCATCTCCGGCGGGGAATGAGTCACCATATCCGAGATGAGGTGGACCAACGGTTGCTTTCATGCTGTGGAGACAATAACTTGGTCCTCAACACCAATAAGACCGAGGAGCTTATAGTGGACTATATAGAAGGAACAGATCAGACATCCAGCCCTCGCTTATCCATGGAGACCGAGGGGAGCAAGTGGCCAGTTTTAAGTTTCTGGGTGTTACCCTAAAAGAGGACCTGACCTGGGGTGCCCACATTGCAGCCCTGGTCAAAAGGGCCCAGCAGAGATTATACCACCTGAGGTTTCTCAGGAAACAACAACTGGTTGGAAAACTGCTGGAGACCTTCTACCGCTGCGCCATGGAGAGTATCTTAACTTACTACATCCCTGTCTGGTTTGCCAATTGCACAGAGGCAGATAGGACAGCGCTCCAGAGGGTGAACGTCATTGCCCAGAAGATCATGGGTTGCCCTCTCCCCTCTTTGGAAGACCTTTAGAGCTCCCGCTGCCTTAAGAAAGTTCAAAACATCCTCAAAGATCCATCTCATCCTGGGAACCCTTTTTTTGAACTATTACCATCTGGCAGACGGTACAGGATAATAATAAAAACAAGGACAAATAGGCTGAAAAACAGCTTCTATCCCAGGGCGGGAGCTCTCTTGAATTCTACTGTCTAGTGCAATATTAATGGAATATCAGGGGTTCTCAATTCAATGTGTGGAGGGTGACGGATGTGTGTTTGTGTTGATTTTCATGGTCACGATGTGCCCTGAAGATGGGCGTTTGATTTCGTTGCACAAGATTCAATGGCAATAAAGTAAACTAAACTAAACTCCCCTGACACACGTTTTTTTTCTTAGCTACTCATTTGATCTCCCCGCTTTTTGAAATAATATAACTGATAGTATCTTATCAATAGGAATTGAATCATGACTCAATTTCAGGAGAAAAGACACTGAGAAACACTTTCAATAAATCACCTGAAGTGTATCTTAAAGGAAACCCACCTTTCAAAATGTTTGTAAAAATTATTATGGTGATAGGTTGCACACTCAGCCAGAGTGCCGAATTTCTATTTGGCATTTCTTCCGCCGATCGAGCCTGTCCCAGTTATCAGTTTCTATCCGAGAACAGTAGCTCTGTTGAATTCTACTGCCTTGTGCAATATTAATATAAAATCAGGGGTTTTCCATTTATTTGCCTAGAATGCGAAGGATGTGTGCCTGTGTTTATTTTCATGGTCATAATGTGCACTGAAGTTGGTGTTTGATTTCGTTGCACAGGTGCAATGACAATAAAGTAAATTAAACTAAATTAAACTCTCCTGACATGCATTTTTTCTTAGCTCCTCATTTGGTGAGTTTACACATCAGGAAGTCCAGGGTTCGTAGGTTAGGCCCCAAAGCCTTGCACTGCGGCCTTGTTCTCCGTATGAAATTCCTCCAAGGAGAGGATCCAGTTGAGATCTGTGGATCCAGTTCCCAGCCTACTCCGAAGGCAGGAATCGCCTCGGATCTCCCACAAAAGGTACTGCTGGAGCTTGGTTGAATTGAGCCATCAGGAAGACGCCAACGGTGCCAAAGATAAAAACAGAGGCCATGAGGAGGAAGCAGACACGGTCAATGACTCTGCCTACCAGGATCCATTCTTCATTTTCCTGGAAAGAAAGAAAAAGAAAGAACGAAAGAAAGAACGAAAGAACGAAAGAAAGAAAGGAAGGAAGGAAGGAAGGAAGGAAGGAAGGAAGGACAGGAAAGAAGGAATGGAGAGAAAGAAAGAAAGAAAGAAAGAAAGAAAGAAAGAAAGAAAGAAAGAAAGAAAGAAAGAGAGAAAGAGAAAGAAAGAGAAAGAAAGGAAGAGAGAGAGAGAGAGAAAGGAAGAAAGGAAGAAAGGAAGAAAGAAAATAAATAAGGGAACTCGAAAGAAAAGTTAATTTTCTTGGAAGGAAGGAAAAGTCAAGGGAACCGCAAGGCAGAAGCTTTCCAAATGTTGGGGTGGAAGAAGAATGGAGGCCCCCAGTTCTGTGGGCATGGCTTGGTGGGCATGGCCAGGTGGGCATGTGACTGGGTGGGTGTGGCTATGCGTTTTTTTTCTTTCGCAGCACCTCCCCTCCCCCCACCCCCGCATCCTGTTTTTTTGCCTACTGGGCCTCACGGAAGCCTCCTGGTAAGGTAAGTACAATGTCAACTAAAAAATACTTCTTTGGTCTTTTAGTTGTCAGAGGAAACGGAGTGGGGAAAGCAGTGCATTCCTTAAATGCTTCAGACAATTGCTAGGCAGCCCGAAGCTGTTGGTGTGCAAGATTATTACTGGAGAGCGTGATTGATGACTCTTGGCTATGGATGTGTCCCATTGGAGAATATACATCCAGGGGGTGGGCGAAGACCAGGGTCAAGGGGGAAATGAATGATGTGTCTTAGAGTCAGCTGCACCCAGATAACACCGACATGGTCACTCCTAATAAATCATTTTTTTTTTAACTCTGAGAGATGTGACTAGAGACTTATGATTTGAATGGGGGTGTATTGTCGGAGCCCTGACATACAACAGCGAGGGGAGGGGATCAGCTGTGCTGCGTGACTTAGATTAGCTAGAAAGCAAGAAATCCAATGATTTCTGATCGGTGAACTGGTGGCATTCTTTTACTACTGGTTCGCCTGAACCAGGCCGAACCAGTAGAATACTACCACTGCTTATAACCATGGTTGTGTAATGTAGAATCATAGTTGTGTGCCATCCAAGCGGTTTCTGATCCTTAAAAAAAAAAAAAAGCCTTCCCAGGATGTAGATTCAACTCAAGAGTCAAAAAAGTCAAGATGGCAGCCACGTTATGTATGACACAAGTAAAAGCTAGAGTAGGATTTCCATCATGGTGGCAGCTCCCATCACTTTTTGACTCACACACACACACACACACAGACACACACACGATCCAGCTTTTGTCCTCACATGTGTGGGCTTCACAGCATGGTCCTGTGGACTTCAACTCCCAGAATCCCCCAGCCAGCTATGAATTCTGGGAGTTGAAGTCCACGCATCTTAAAGTTCCTTCAAGATGGGAAATTGAGAAATACGGTTGAGAAATTCTGAGCTAGAGACTATCTTTGGGGGGATTTTTGAGAAGATACAATAAGAATTATTTCATTTATTTAAAATTTAGAATAGAATAGAGCTAGAAAGGACCACGGAGGTCTTCTAGTCCAGCCCACTGCTCAAGCAGGAGAATCTATTAAGTTATTAAATTTATCTGCCATCCATCTCATGTTGAAATGACTCCGGATGGCTTTGTACGGGAGGAGAGAAGCTGGATTAATGTCTCAGCTGTCTCCGTCTTAAATTCAGATGGATTTCTGTTAATTCTGCCTTTTTTCCTTCCCGGCTCACCCTCATCCTACCCCACTTTGCCACTGTCCGGAAACAGCCAAAGATTGATACACACGCCATTTCCTATAATTTTTACTCACATTTTCTGCTAAGGTTTATGATATTTTAAACCTGTCAGGTACCCTTTCAATCTACTACTTTCTTAAAATGATATTTTTGCATTTCTTAAAAGAGTGGTCCTAGGAAATCTGGGGGACACCCCCCCAGGGGACATCTCGGGGGGGGGGGTTCCCCAAAATCAAAACGATTTGCCAGCCTATGTGGGAAAATAATGCAATATTCAAATCCCATCCCCCAATTGCGCAAAGCACTAGCGGCAGCATTGAAGTCTGTTTTTAATTTTTAATACAGTCACTATGGATAAATGCAACCTATGCAAAGAAAAAATTTATTTGGGGAAGCCTTTAATTTCTAAATAATAAATAAGTTAAATAAGTAATTTAATTAATTAATCCATCATTTATTATTATCATTATTTTTTAAAAAATGGGGAGTGGTCCTGAGAGAAAAAGGTTTAAGAAACCCTGCTCTATGCCAATTTATGTGCTTTATTTTGTAGAGAGAGCATGTTGTCGAAAGCCTGTGTAAGCCAGGTCAAAAAAGTCAAGAAAGTAGCTGCAACTGTAGGGTTGAAAAAGCCTTTCCCCGTTTTTTTAAGGCGTGGCTGCCACCTTTATTTTTTTGACCTGTCCTGCCCAAATCTTTGCAAAATTTAGAGATGCATTTCAGTTGATATGGGCTACCAATTTCCAATTTGTTTTCCTTCTATTTGTCATGAATCACTTTTGAAGCTGACAAAACTCCTGTTTATTCTATTCTGTTCTATTCTATTCTGTTCTGTTCTGTTCTGTTCTATTCTATTCTATTCTACTCCATTCCATTCTTCATTCCAATATCTATTCTACTCTATTCTATTCTATATTCTATTCATTTTCTCTATTCTGTTCTATTCCATTCCATTCTGTTCATTTTCTATATTCTATTCTGTTTTGTTCTGTTTTACTCATTTTGTTCTGTTCTGTTCTGTTTTATTCATTTTCTATATTCTATTATATTCTGTTCATTTATTCTATTCTATTTTCTATTCTATATTCTGTTCATTTTCTATATTCTGTTCTATTCCATTCTGTTCATTTTGTATATTCTATTCTGTTTTGTTCTGTTCTACTCATTTTGTTCTGTTCTGTTTTATTCATTTTCTATATTCTATTCTATTCTGTTCATTTATTCTATTCTATTTTCTATTCTATATTCCATTTATTTTCTATATTCTATTATATTCTGTTCTATTCATTTTCTATATTCTGTTCCACTCCATTCTATTCATTTTCTATATTCTATTATATTTTGTTCTATTAATTTGTCCTCTTCTCTTCTGTTTTATTCATTTTCTGTATTCTATTCTATTATTTTCATTTATTCTATTCTATTCTATTCTATTCTATTCTATTCTATTCTATTCTATTCTATTCTATTCTGTTCCTATTCTATTCTATTCTATTCTATTCTATTCTATTCTATTCTATTCTATTCTATTCTATTCTATTCTATTCTATTCTATTCTATTCCATTCCATTCCATTCCATTCTATTCATTTTCTATATTCCATTCCATTCCATTCTTGATATGCAACCAACCGTTAAAGAATCACCTTAGCCAATCAGATCTCCCCCAGTTGACCAATAGGAGAGCTAAAGGCCCCAACGCCCCTCCTCCTGAAGTACCATAGCCCCCGAAGGTGCAAAACTCTTATCGCTTTGACTCCACTTCAAAGAAGACACTCAGATGTGCAAGAGAGGTGGGGCTTCGATCGTGACAACGCACCCCCCTCCTCTTGCCGATTTTGACACACGCACACACCCCTCCACAATGTCATTCTTGGAGAAGGAGGCAGCTAACCAGTTTCCACTGAGTTGGAAACCTTATAAGGAAGAAAGACGGGGGGGAAAAAAACTTTTCTTTTTACAGAAAAAAAGAAAGAAAGAAATTTTTAGAGGCGCTGAAACGGCCGACAATTGGACACCTTTCATGCAAAAATCATGAAACCAAATAAGTTTCCACGCTGAACAATTTGTTTTTTTCCCCAGCACTTTAAATCTAACTTATTTATTAAAACCAAACAGGGGGGAAAAAAAAACTGCAGAGAGAAATAAAGGAGAGAGAGGTTGAAAATACAGCCAAGCTACAATCTGAGGATCAATTTTGACTTGCCAGAGAGAATAGATGAAAGTAGGTCTGATTGCTTCCTGCAATTCAGATCTGAGAGAAATGCTGATAAACGTCTATTTTCTTTCCAAAGGAATGAAGCCAAACGGCAAGATTTCCAATTTCTCTCTTTTTTATTTTCCCCCACTCTCCCAAAAAAGGCTTTTTAACCTGCCTCTCAACAAGACATGGAAAACAGGCAGCGAAGCTCCAGATGCGAGGATCAATCTCCATAAACAGCAGTGCAAAACTTCTACATAGGGAGCATCCCGGAAATGAACCCACAACCATTTAACTGAGTTGGGAGGGACCTCGTAGGTCATCTAGTCCAACCCCTTGCCCAGGAAGGAAACCCTACACCAGGGATGGCGAATATTTTCGACACCGAGAGACCAAACCGGAATGCGTGTTTATTCTGGAGCACCGGAAACCCGAAGACCAGCTGGCTTGGGTTTTTTGGTCATTTTTGGCCATTTTTTCTGGCCATTTTCCGGCTGTTTTTCAACACATTTTCAGGACATTTTTGGGCCAAAAACATCCTGAAAACATCCCGAAAAACACACTGGTTTTTTGGCATTTTTCAAGACATTTTTCTGGCTGTTTTTTAGGCCATTTTTCGGGCTGTTTTCAGGCCGTTTTTCAATCATCTCTGTTTCTTTTCTCTGTACTCCTTCTGCACCCATAATGCAATACGCACGCGACCCAGCGGGGTTGGACTAGATGACCTACAAGGTCCCTCCCAACTCTGATTACCTATTAGTTATCTGTTATCTGACCCACCCACCGCCTGAACATGCGCATGCATCTCCCCCACATGCATCACCGCAAGTGCATGCATGGCAGATACGCAACCATCAGCTGGCTGGCTGGGGGCGCATGCGCATGTCCAGTGGATCAGTTCTGGACGATGGCTCACATGCTGGCAGAAGTGGCTCTGCGTGCCATTTCTGGCACGTGTGCCATAGGTTTGCCGTCACGGTTCTAGAGTCTCAACATCCTTTTTATAGTGTGGTGACCAAAACTGGATGCATGACTCTAGGTGTGGTCATACTAAGGCTTTACAGAGTGGTATTAGTACCTCCCTTGATCTTGATTGTATCCCTCCGTTAATGCAACTCACACACACCCCTCTCTGGGGTAGCCCCTCAGATATTGGAAGGCTGCTCTCCTGTCTCCCCTGGTCCTTCTCTTCCCTAGACTAGCCAGGCCCGGTTCCTGCAACCGTTCTTCATATGTTTTAGCCTCCAGTCCCCAAATCCTCCTGGTTGCTCTTCTCTGCACTTTTTCTAGAGTCTCAACATCCTTTTTATAGTGTGCTGACCAAAACTGGATGCAGTACTCTAAGCGTGGTCTTTCTAAGGCTTTACAGAGTGGTATTAGTACCTCCCTTGATCTCGATTGTATCCTTCCATTAATGCAAATTATCATTGTATTGGCATTTAGATGGTCCCTCATGCATTCTATGATGCCGTAAAGGAGATTCAGAGGCTGGATTCAGAAGAAGCATTCCAGACCATCCTGCCAATATCTGGGAAGTGATAAAAGAGGCAGGAAAGACCCTTATTTTGGTCTTATTGATTAGAGGTACTCCTTGACTTATTAGGGGACTGCAGGCTAAGACATATGAAGAACGGTTGCAGGAACCGGGTAGGTCTAGTCTAAAGAAAAGAAGGACCAGGGGAGACATGATAGCGGTCTTCCAATATTTGAGGGGCTGCCCCAAAGAAGAGGAAGGGGTCAAGCTTTTCTCCAAAGCCCCTGAAGGCAGGACAAGAAACAACGGGTGGAAACTCATCAAGGAGAGAAGCAACCTGGAATTAAGGAGGAATTTCCTGACAGTGATGGCAGTTGGAACTCCTTGCCACCAGAAATTGGGGCTGTCCCATCACTGGAGGCTTTGAAGAAAGAGAGATTGGACAGCCATTTGTTTCAAAGGGTACTATAGGGTATTCCTGCCTGAGCAAGCAGGGGGCTGGACTAGAAGACCTCCAGGGTCCCTCCCGACACGGTTATTTTGTTATTTCCTTCAGTCAGCAAGCATCCCTGCTGCTGATTGGCGGCCAAGGGCCCCTCTGGTCCGCATCCCATCTCTGCTGTGCCGCTCGCCAGGGTTGGATCCCATCATTCCGTAAGGATAGACTGCTCCTGGGAGTAAGGAGGCTCTCTTAGGGGACGTGCTTAGGATTGCCTTTGCATTTAGACGGTCTCTAAAGTCCCTCTCAACCAGTGGTGGTCTCCTGCTGGTTCAAACTGGTTCGAGTGAACTGGTGGTTCCGGCAATCATCTGGCCCTGTCTACTTGCTCCCGCCCTATCCTGTCCTACGTTTCCGTGTTTTTCGGGTCAGCTAATTCACGCAGCACAGTGGATTTCTGCACCTCAGCTGTTTTACTCACCGGCGGTGCTCTAGAAGGTAAGCTTTAGAGGCCAAAATGGGTGGTTTTGGAATGCTGCGCGCGAACCCAAGGGATACTTTAGGCCTGCGCGTGCTCACGGAACCAGTTGTCAAACCGGTTGCAGCCACCACCACTGCTCTCCACCCATGCATTCTATGATGCTATGAAAGGAGATTCAGAGGCTGGATTCAGAAGAAGCAAAGGTATTCCAGACCATCCTGGTAGGCGATAAAAGAGACCGAGAAAATACTTTGGTGGTGACCAAAACTGGACACAGTCCTCTAGGTGTGGACTTACTAAGGCTTTATAGAGTGGTATTAGTATCTCACTTGACCTTGACTGTGTCCCTCTGTTAATGCAACTGTGATGACAAAGGCCACACAGTCAGATAATCTGTAGGAGTCTCTTTATTAGCTCCAACTTTGTCCCCAATGTCCTGGTTACCTTCTGGCCTGGAGAAAAAGTCTCCCAGGAACAGCCTTTGGCTGCAGAGAATCAAGTCTAAAACATGGTCAACAAAAACTGTAACTAAAAGTCCAATCAAGGCAAAATGAGGCAATTAATTTGGCAGGGCAAGAGCAAGAATTCCGGATGTGAAGGAACGGCAGTAATTCAACACGGTTGGGAAGATGCCAGGAACTCAGATAACCAAAGTCAACGCAAAATAAATTCATGTTTGTTCCCAGCAACTGCTGCACGCAGGCTGCATTTCTTTAAACTCTCTTCCTAGGTGTGGCTAATGAAGGGAATCAAGGCCCTTTCATCCCCCGTAAGCCACTCAACCCATGTTGCTCCCTTCTCCGTTCCTCCCTGCGTGCCCTTGGATGAAGAGGCGGGTGGGCCTGGGTCTTCCTCCGAACTCCCTCTCCCTTGTTCTACCTCTCCTCCGCTCTGTTCAGCCGGTCTTTGCCCTTCCCCAGTTTCCTCCACAGCCAACGGAGCCACACTCCCACCCCCTGTCAGCTATTTGTCTTCCTTTTTGGTTTCAGACTCCAACAGGGGCATGACAGCAACTTAGGATTGTTGTTAATGCAACTTAGGAAGTTGAACCTTCCACCGCCCTTTTCCGTGGTACTTACGCTGTCAAAATTGTTCTTTTCTTGCAAAGTCTTGGTGATGTGGTTGCAGGCATTCACACAGGACTGGATTTCCAGAGCGGCATGGCGTAGGCTGTTGCAGAACTCCTGGGGGCCTCCGTTCTCCAAGCCTTCTCCTTGAAATGGAAATGAAAGTATTAGAGAAACATCAAAAGACCAAGAAGAAGGAGCAGCTCCGGAGAACTGGCCGTTTCTGCCTGAACGTCTAATGCTCTTCCGTCAGCGCAGCCCTTGCGTTGACACAATCCTCGACTTACGACTGCAACGGTGGCTGGAATCTCCATCGCTAATGGAAGCAACGGGTGGAAACTAACCAAGGAGAGAAGCAACCTAGAACTAAGGAGGAATTTCCTGACAGGGAGGACAATTAACCAGTGGAAGGGCTCCAG